ACAACCAAAATCGGTTGGTGACCAAATTCGTAGGTGTCAGAACAGATTAACCGTATTTACATTGAACCTTATGGGAAAATTTGATTTGAGTCGCGACCAGAGTCACGGAACGAATTAAGTTCGTGACCCGAGGTACCACTGTATATACCTTTCTGATAGATTCCAAGGTTCTTCTGAGATTGATTGATTGGTTTGTTTGTTTGTTTGTTTATTTAGTGTGGCCACCCATCTCACCAAGTGACTCTGGGCGGCAAACAAATTTAAAAAATAAAAGCAATTAAAATAATACAAAGAATAAAAAACAGCAGCCGAGAATAAATCATCCATCATAATCACTAAATTAACCACAGAATGGATCTCTGCACACACTTGGAGCCCCAAGCCTCGGCACAGAGCCAGGTCTTTAAGGACTTGTCAGCAGAGTCAGGCCATCCTGATCTCTGGAGGGAGAATGTTCCATAAGGCAGGTGCTGCAGAAGAAAAGGCATGTCCTCTAGGCCCTGCCAACTGGCATTCCTTAGCTGACAGGACCTGAAGCATGTCCATCCTGCTTGATCAGATTGTATGCGTAGAAACAACTAGGGAGAGACGGTCCCTCAAGTAATCTGGTCCCAAGCCATGAAGGACTTTAACGGTGACAACCAGCACCATGAATTGCACCTGGAAGCGTGCTGGCAATCAGTGCAACTCACGGAGTAAAGGTGTTATATGCGCCAGATAACCAGCGCCATTTACTACCTATGCTGTCACATTCTGCATCAGTTGAAGCTTCTGAATGCTCTTCAAGGAGAGGCCCATGTAGAGCGCATTGCAGTAGTCCAGATGGGAGGTCACAAGGGCATGAGTGACAGTGAGCAGGACCTCCTGGTCCAGGAATGGGTGTAATGGTGCACAACCCAAAGGTATGCAAAGGCCCTCCTAGCCACAGCTGCTGCCTGCTCTTTAAGCAGGAGCTGTGAGTCCAGGAGGACCCCCAGATTGCACACTGGGTCTGAGGCAGTGCCACCTCATCCAAGACCAATGATGGAAAGTCTCTGGGACCAGAAGTCCAAACACCCAAAGCTACTCACTCTTTCTTGGGTTGAGCATACTGGTGATACCTCACCCCAAACCATTGGATGACCTCACCCAATGGCCTCATGTAGATGTTAAACAGGAGGGGAGAAAGAACCAAGTCCTGAGGAAATTGATTTCTTAATTAGTTCTGAAAGTTAAAAAAATGTGGAGGCACGTTGTATTCCTCATTCTAAAGGGCTTGCCTTTGTCTCCTCACTAAACCTTTTGCAATAATCAGGTCTAATAAGTATAACAGTTCAGACATCTCTTAGCTTAGTTGTAAAGTAACAAAAGAAGAAGAGAAAGAATACAGAAAAGAGGTTAAGGGAAGAAGGTAAAACTGATAATTTCCCACTTTCTATCCATAAATTCCCCTACAGTAGCCATAAGGTTGCTCTTGGTGACTGTTTACAAGGAAAATGCTTTAATAGTTGGTAAATAGTTTTTGTGCAATCAACAATCAGTCAAGAAACCTTTGGTAATTCAATGTATTTTTCCAGTTTTTTCTGGAAATGCAATGAAGATCTATCTATCTATCTATCTATCTATCTATCTATCTATCTATCTATCTATCTATCTATCTATCTATCTATCTAACTATCTATCTGAATATAGATGTTCTAAGACTGTAAACTGAAGTTAGACTTTAGTGTTTTAGTGTCTGAACTTCAACCTCAGTAGCAATGGTCCCTAAAAATCTATGAGGTAATGGGCTTTCAGGTAGATTTTTGCTTAGTTGCAATTGTCATCTTGTTGACTTCTTTATTGATTACTGAATATTCTTGTTTTGCTACTTTGGTCTTTTTAATAACTAACATAGTGAAAATATTGCTTTCAGTAGATTTGGTTGCATGCCTATATTGATTTACCTGAGAATAAGCCTGGTGCATTCACAGTGAACTGTTTCTGACTGTTTTGATGCCTCAAGATTTCAAGTTCCAGTAGAATAAATCCCAGTATAATTTATCAGTAACTAAATCATCAAGGTTGACATGTTCTTTAAAATATAAAGTATTTGATACTTAAGGTCAGAGAGTTCCTGCTTCAAAAATAAGCAAACCTTCAGGCACTCACCTAGGAGACTTTTTAGCTGTTTCTGTTGAAAGGATTTCAGATGTCATATCTGTTTAATACATTGCAAGTCTTTTGTAGCATACAGATAGAAATGGGTTAGGTTAATCAACTATGCAACACATAGGTTAGTCAACTATAGCCTACAACTGAGTGATAAAAATAAGGAGACATGGTTGGTTTTGGGTTGTAAATGCTAGAAGTATAGGTTTATACTGAATAAATATATTATGAGATAACAACTTTTAAGCACATCAAGTATTTTACTGAAATAGTGAATCCACAAATATAAATGTGTAACAAATTTTGTTGAAATTCAGCTGATAATCATAAGCAGATGCTAAATATAATTGCATATCAATGGGCAAATGCTAATGTTATTGTATATTGACTGCTACATTGTTTTACACAAGATAGTTGAGATGGATTGGTTGAAATGTTTGGCTTTCATATTAAAATAAACATATATACAGTTTCTATTAAACTTTTCCTGGGGACAAGAGGCCACATTTTGTTTTCCTACATGTTGAAACAGGCAGATAGATTAATCTCATATTTCATTGGGAATGTGATCACAATTTCTACTACATAACTCCAAGTTTATCTAAACAACTGTAGGGAATGTTCTGCAAATGCCGCTGGGCTTTCTGCTTTTTTTCAGCAGGTAGCTTTTCATGCTCATTCATCTAGCTGCACCTGAGAGTTTAGGAATGGTATTATTAGGTGGGATGGCAGATGAGACAGGGGAGAAATGAGAGAATCTGCCAGATATGCATGAGTTTTTATCTAGGAACAGGAGCTTTCTCTGGATCTGTATTAGATAATTGAAGCCCTAATGAAGTTGAGTGTCCCGAGAAGCATTTTGAGAATGTGGGAGTGAAGGCAGGAGGTGATACAAGTTTGGGATTACATCAGGGCACATTTCTATAGCAAGGTGTGGGATTCTACATGACTGCAGTAATGCATGTCCTGATGACCTTCAAGGAGGCTGGACATTGCTGCTGCAAATAGTGGAAAAGAAGAAAGTGGCCTGAAGCATGTTTATCCTTTCCTTACATTTTTCTCTCAGGATTATATGTTCCCATTGGATTACTGTGACAGCTTTAAATTACTGTATAATATCTAAAGTATGTTGACTCTTGTCTTTGAAATATGTCTTCATTACTTGTTTGCTTTTCTTTTAGAATGGGCACAGGTGGCAAATATTTCAAGATTTGTTGGGAACAGACCAAGACAACCTTGACTTGGCCAATGTTAACTTAATGTTGGAACTTCTGGTGCAGAAGAAAAAACAGCTGGAGGCAGTAAGCTTTTTTCTAGTTTCTTAGTAAATGTATATTAAGAAACAATATCTTTCATTTAATGAAACTGATTCCCTTTTTTCCCAGGGTTTGGCTGATGTTGTACCAATGTACAGATCAGTAATTTAGTGCCCAAGGGCCCCAAGATGCTCCTTGAATGCCCAGTAGATGGTCCCACCATCATCAAAATAAAATGCTTTACTTTAAAAAATGCATTATGAGGTTTTGATGGCTTCAGGTGAGATCTTTTAAAGTAGTAGGATTTTTTTGGTCTCCAGTCCATCATACAAGATTATGAGATGGCTGGGAAAAGTTATTCCCTTCGCTATTGAGTTTTAAATGGAGGCATAATTAATTGGATTTCATAAGGTATTTTAAACATGTAGAAAATGCATTGTTTCACTAGATTTCAGACAATAATAAAAATATCTGAACAAATGATTTAATGCCTGTATTGTACTATCAACATCCTAGAGCACAAGGGCTCCATTATCGGTAGCTCTTCAAAAATGGCCAAGTGTAACTCCCAGCTTCTCCATGCTGTCTGAGGTGAAGAATTGTACTTTAGCAACCCCTGGAATAGATTCCTCAACAAAATCCTAATGGATTTTTACTTGCCCGTATACAGCTTGCATTTTGCTTTTTGTTCCATAGGTGGAAAAAATGGTGTGAAAAAAATATTCTTTATTATGCCATAAGTCCCATCACATTTTGAGGGAATGGTGTTCTCTCAAAAGATATGGGGAGTTTTGGTCTAACACAGAGTATTATTTTCAGTATTGGTGTTTTTTCTCTTATTGCCCCTACTTTCTTGTGTTCTCTAGGAACCAATTAGGGGAATGTGAGCTCTTTCACTAGTGTTTTGAATTCCTTGGAGCTGTTTCCCCACAAATATGATTATTTTGTAATACAAGATCTGAAACTATGATTTGGAGTGGACTTTAAGTTGTGGATAAATAGAGTATGTTTTCTGTAATCTGACTCCCAATTTCATTACAGTTAGCAGTTTCTGATTCTACTATATATATCTGCTGTAC